CTCCAATTTCATGTTTTGACTTCTTGGTAGTGACTTCAATCATATGACCTGATGTTTGTTCTTAATTTCTATCTAGTGAATTTGATTTAGCTTTAATCGAATGTTTGATTCTAATTGTGATTCTTATTGGCCATTTGAATTAGGGTTAGGTCATTCAAGTTATCTCTTTTGAAAAATCCGTAATTGTTTTGTGAAATTGAACAAGTAACAAGCACTAAACTGATTTCCATTGAATGAATTTAGTGTAAACCTTATTCACACACTCTTACGCTCCCGAGCTTGTGAGGAGTATTGGGTGTTGTTGGGAACATTCACATAACATTTAATGCAATCTTTCAATCTAATTCTAAGAGCTTGTTTAGATTAGGTTAGTAAGGTTAGGGATAATCAAATAGCTTATTTTGGTTAATTAATGTGGTGAATGGGAAGTGTTAGAGCTTGTTAACACTTTCAAGTACCAACTAAATAGAATTGAGCAAATATCATGTTATCTTGGAATCACATTGCTAAGTTGTCATACATGAGGTTGGAGTCCTTACCATTTCTGAATTTAATTCATTCTTTTAGTTGATTACTTGTGTTTTTAATTGTTTGTTTTAATTATTTCATTCTAACCCCCCCCCCCCTCCTCTTTACTATTGGTGACCATAGTACCTTGCGCAAAGAGGTATAGACTAATTATCCCGTGTCTCTGTGGATCGACCCTGCTTGCCTTGTACTACCATTTAGTGCAATATAGTGGGATTCTTTTGGAGTATATCATACCCCTTTATTTGTTGGGTCTGACATGCCCTAACAAGAATCTTTGGTTTTTGGAAAACAAGCATGGATTTCTTTTTGACTAAAGAAATATCCATATTTGTTTTCTTTTGGCAACTTGTTGTTGAAAGTGTTTATTTTTATATAACCATTTTTCATGTATTTTGGTTATATAAAGGTTGTCTTAGAAAAAACAAAGAGTTGTTTTGTTGATATGTTTGTTGTGTATAAACAAGTCATTAGGACATTTGTGGTTGATATTTATTTATTCATATGATGATGCAATAGATAAATAAGTATTATTTCATTTGTTCATTTTTATATGTAATAAATTAGTTTTTAGACTAGTTGTATTTTATTTTTATAAAAATGTAACAAGATGGAGCATGAAGTTCTTATGAAAACATGAAGCCTTTTTGAAGACCTTGAAGTGTCCTAATAAGTCCTTTAGGAAATGACTTAATATTTGTTGTGATGACTCACAATAAATATTAATAGAAAATGGCTTTGTTTATACATTTTAAATGCATGCTTGTGATGTTTATTTTTGTTGTTATAAAATGTTGTATGTATGAAAATATGTTTTCCATGCTAAAACATTTTTACAAAAAAATAACATCAAACTTGGGGTTTAAAGTTTTATATAAAAGCTTTACCATAAGATGTCAAAATTGAGTTTTTTTTTGTTAAAAAGAGTTTTTGAATATTTTTTTAAAAAAAAAACTCTAAAGTAGCCAAACTTTTAAAGATATAAAAAAGTTTAAAATAGTTTAAACTTAATCTAAACTTCATAGCTCAATAATAAAATGTTGTTTTATTAACAAAGTTAGAAATCTGTTCCAATCCGTATAACGTCGAATTAAAATTGAATATAAATTTTACCCGGTAAAATTTTATATGAAATAAATTCAACTATATGTTTTTTGGAACACTTTTAAATGTACCATGAAATATTTTATGCATGAAATATTCATGATGCAAAATGTTTTAAAATGCTAGAATAATAAAGCATTGATAAAAAACCATTATTTACAAAACTTCAAATCTATGCAATCCATTTAAAAATCAGTTGAGATTTTTGTGCAATTCATGTGGATTTTAGGGTCACCTTATTCATTTGAGTTGTCAAAAATAGTTAATGTATTTTTGTATTTGCTTATGGGATAAAGGTCATCTAACAATTTGTGAAATAAAACTCATATGTTTTTTAAATGAATGATTTGATCAATTTCTTATGTGATAAATGTCACCTAAACATAAGAGTTTTGAGGCATAGATGGGATGAACATGCCATTTAAAAACAAAGTAATGTTTTTGGATCCCATAAATCTAAGAATTACATAAGAGTTGTAATTGGTTATCGTAACCTACCGATCAACAAAATCACTTGAGTAGTGGGTCACCTCGTCAAGTTATTTTGGGTGATGTGGATCTTAGCTTTTCAAAATTTAATTTGAAGGGTAATTTTTTTTAAAAGAATTTATATCGAATATATTAAAATGAATCTTATTATTTTGTAGATGACTACCCCAACTGTAACCACCTCATCACTCACCATCCGATCCATCCTCGAAAAAGAAAAACTAAGTAGACCCAACTTTCTTGATTGGTTCAGACAACTGAGAATTGTCCTCAAGCTTGAGAAAAAGGACTATGTCCTTGATGAACTTATCCCAAAAGAGCTCCCAGCTAATGCTGCCAAAGCATTGAAAGATTCTCGGGCAAAACATGTTAATGATTCAACCGAAGTAGCTTGCATCATGCTTGCAACTATGACTCCTGAACTTGAGAAAGCTTTTGAGTTTCATGAAGCATTTGAACTTCAGAAAACTCTGGATATATCCCATCGCCAAGGTAATATCCATAATTGTATTCGTGTCCATTTATAACGTATGACATGTTTGGTGCTTTATCCTGCAAAATGTCGTTAAATAACGGAGATGCTCCAAGCACATTCAAGTCGTTGTTTGACTCTGCCATATCAAAAAATGCATGCCAAAACCAGAGGTCATGTGAAACAACTGCTTCTAGTATAATAGTAGGCACACCATGATCACCTCGCGTGAATTGCCATCGCCATGCATTGGGTCAATTTTCCCACACCCAATGTGTACAATCAAGGCTATCTAACATTCTTGGAAATCCATGTTTAGCCTTATGTGCGGCATATAATTGTTCCACATCACTTCTAGTTGGATTTCGCAAGTATATGTCATCGTAAAGCTCTATAACATACTCACAAAAAAGATATGTGCATTTTCGACCGGTCCTCGAAGACATTTTCAAATATTCATCTGAAACGTCTGCGGCTATGTCGTACGCCAATTGTCTAAGAGTTGTTGTGCATTTTTGAAATGTAGTAAGACCACGTTTACTTCTAGCATTTCATCTCAATTGAAAAAACTTATAATTGTTTTCCAAATCTCTAGATATACGTAGGAATAAATTTCTACTAATACGAAAACGATCTTCAAATTTCGATAGGTCATATAAACTATCAGTGGTAAAGAAATCACGTACCAAAAGTTCGTTTGCCGCGATACGATCCTGATTGATAGACTTTCTACGTTTTTTCTCGACATTTGAACTTTCGCCTCTTTGACGCACAATATCGTGTGCTGTGGACAACAACGTGTGCATAATCAACTCATCATCATCGGATGAAAAGGAAGAAATGACACCCAAAAAATTATTCATATTGTTATTGTCGAGTGTATTTGTTGTAAGATATTTGATGTGTATTGTGTTTGTATATATAGGTGATGTTTTAATTCTAAAAAGAAAAGTTTTTTTTTATAATAAATGTAATCGGTAAAAAAGGAATGGATATAAACGGTCAAAAATCGAATAACCAATCACATTGCTCGTAAGCATCCGTGACTAGCATCAATCCGCATCACATTTACTCTAGCTAGGGGCGGTGTTCATGCGTCACAAAGTCGGCCATACCCGATGGCCTAAACTCCACACAATTTGGAGAGGTTAAGGGTGCGTTTGGTTATGTTTTCAGAGAATATAGTTGAGTTTTCGCTTTCAATTTTTAATGAAAATTTTAGAAAACGCGTTTGATTGAAACCGGAAGAGTTTTCATTTTCTATCTTAGAAATTTGAAAAACTTTGGAAAACTGTAAAAATCACTTTTCTAATTTACATACTATTTGATAACTGAAAATTTTCATTTTCTTGAAAAATTTTGGAAAACTGAACCAACGTTTTCAAAATTTCTGGTTTTTTTTGGAAAATTTTTATTGAAAACTGAAAAAAATTTCATAACAAACGCACTCTAAACATATACACAATTTAAATCGCATATGGTACAAGTTTTTAAACAATGGTTGGAAAAAGAAAAAAGAGTGGGGATTGCGGTCGTACAGTAGAAACTGGGAAGGGAGAAAAAAAAAAGGATAGAAGACGACACATACAAATTATAATTATAATTTTTTACCGCCAACATCTTATTTGTTGTAGATTTAGTCCTCAAACTTCCTTTTATCTTATTTGTTGTAGATTTAGTCCTCAAACTTCCTTTTTATGCATCTTTTCTGTAACGGATAGGAGAGTTCTGACAATAAAGATAAATTGTCTACACTGAACATATCCAAGATCAATTATATTTATAAATTAAGGAGCAACAATATTCAATATTTTGAATATGTTAGGTTTTGAACGGATCATGTTTTATAAAGTTTTAAGCAAAAAGTAGAATAATTTTGATCAATTTCTTTTCATACATGAATAGAGGTTTGTTTAAGACAAAGATAACCTATAAATACTAACGGGTCTTGCTACTTCCTATAAGAACTATTCATTAGGTTGATTTTTTCTATAAAAATATTATTTATATGTTAAAAGTTTGGAAAAAGGCTTCTATGATAATTGACAGCATAAGAAAAAGGTTTTGAAATCGCTACCAACCAAATTAAGTGGAAGATAGGAAATTGGTGATAGTTTTTTGAAGCTTAGGGACTAAATTGTAAAATAATGAAATAAATATAATGAGTGTTGAATTTGCGTCATCGTCACAAATCAACTGATGCTTCCTCTCACCATCGGCGAACCCCCCTCTCTCCCTCCTCAATGTACATGTCTCTATCTTCTCTTATTTCTTTGGTAGTCAAAGTCTATCCAGTGTCCATTCTTACGTTATATATATCACTCCCATTTCACTCCATCTTTTCCACTCAAGGATTCCTTCGATTCAATAAACCCATCTCTTTAATCTTCTTCACTTCTGCTCATCAATGGCGTCCCCTGATCAATCTTCAGCTTTAGACCTCATCCGTCACCACCTTCTAATTGATGATCTATCCTTCCTTCAAACTTACTCTGGTCTCCCCGATAATGATTCACACAGTGTCCAGACTTCTGATTTTCTTTTTCCTCAAATTTCATCCAGTAATTCATCTTCTTGTTCGTCTTCATCCCCTGTTTTTGAACCTTTCAGCAACTCCGTTTCTGATGAACAATTTGAATTTAACGTGATGCGTGAACCCGCGTTCTGTAAAAATCCATGGAAACAGACTGGCGGTGGTGGTAGTGTTAGTGGGAATAGTTTTAATGAAAGAAAACCGTCGCTAAACATATCGATTCCGTTTCCTCCACCGGTGATCAAGAAAACTGTGGTGGCGGAGAAGGTGGAGGGTGTTGAGGAGAGGAGACATTACAGAGGAGTGAGACAACGTCCTTGGGGGAAGTTCGCAGCGGAGATTCGTGATCCGAACAAGAAAGGCACAAGGGTTTGGCTTGGGACGTTCGACACCGCGGTGGAGGCGGCGAAGGCGTACGACAGGGCGGCGTTTAAGCTTCGCGGTAGTAAGGCAATATTAAATTTTCCGCTTGAAATCGGGAATTTAAATGCGGCGGCAGAGATGCCGGTGGTGAAGAGTAACGGGCGTAAAAGGGTGGCCAGAGAGGCTGAGGTGGAGGAGAGAGAAAGTCGGAAAGAAGTGAAAAAGGAGATGGAGACAGAAATGGTGATGGCGGAGTCCAGCGGTGTTAAGACGACTGACGCCGCAATTGGGCCGCTAACGCCGTCATGCTGGACGACGGTTTGGGATTTTGGTGACGGTGACGGTAACGGAAAGGGTATATTCGAGGTGCCTCCGTTATCACCTTATCCCGGTGTTGGCTTTTCGTCGGGTTGTATGGTTATCTGATAGGATTTAACGGTGTTTACTAACTATGGAAAACTCAAAGGTGCCACGAATAGCCGTTATGTATCGTTTAGTATTATCCAACACCCCTTTCTAAAAGAAAAGAAAAAGAAAAAAAAGATGGTGAGGTGTTTAGTGTACATATAGAGAATAGTGAAGCAGTTCCCACGTATTCATTTTACTTCTATTATTTGTTTATTATGAAATAAATATGATATATTTATTTTTTATTTGCTTGTTGATACGACTAAACGCAATATTTTATATACAATTTAATTATTGATTCAAAATAAAATGTAAATACAGCAACAGCTGGTCTTCGATTAGAAATCATTAAATAATACATTTCGTAAAACCTACAATCATTAAAAAGCCCTCGAACTTTATTTTTTTACACGTTTCACATTTTAATGTTGTTTAAGAACGTTAGAGATTATAGGGCTACTCATTAGGGCTGACAATTCTCGACACGACACGCAACACGACCCACGACACGACACGAAATAAATGGGTTTGGGTTGAGTTTTTCAACCCGCCAACCCGCCAACCTGTTTATTAAACGGGTCATATATGGGTTTCTCAAAAAATAAACGGGTTGACCCGCCAACCCGTTTATATTCTTAATAAAAAAATTATTATATTTTTAAATGTATTTATGTATCAAATTTTAATATTTAATAAGTATTATATAATATATACCATTTATTCATAGACCATTTGATTGTTTTGACATTATTACTCGTGGTGGATGGTCTAAGGTCATAAGTCGTAACCTATAAGACTAAGTCTGTAACATGTTTCTATGAATGTTTGTAATTTTTATTTGGATGTTTAAGACTTAAATATCTAAAATTTGGACCTACGAACCCAAATCTGACCCACGAACCCGCTAACTTGTGAACCCGTATAAATAAATGGGTTGGTGGGTCATATATGGGTTTATGTTCCAAACCCGCCAACTCGTGACCCGCCAACCCGTGACCTGTATATTTAAATGGGTCGTGTTTGGGTTGACATATTTTGACCCGCCAACCCGCCAACCCGCGACACGCCAACCCGAACACGACACGATTGTCAGGCCTACTACTCATCAATCACTTTAGCAAAAATACTCATCAATCACTTTAGCAAAAAGGTGATGCTATTAAGACACCTTATAAAGTTTTTTAGGCCGAAGGGAGTGGTGCCACCGAAACCGCACTCCCTCCCCCGCCACATAAGCGTCATGTCATTTTTTACCACACAAGTGTGGTTTCTTGTCACACCAAGGGGTGGTGCCACACTTTTATTTTATTTTATTTATTTTTGTTTTTTTTGTTAACTATTTTAATTTAATAAAACTTATTTTTTTAATAAAAAAAACATAATTTTAAAAAGATAGTATTTCATTAATTAAAAATACAAATACCATACATTACTTAACTTAAAAAAAACCTAAAAATTTAGAAAAACAAATTAGAAACATAAAACCTACAACTTAAAAAAAAAAAAAAAAAAAAAAAAAAAAAAAAAAAACACACACACACACACCAAACGATTAAAAAACTTGAAAAAAAACTAGAAATTAGCCACGATTGATTTAACGTTTTTTCACTTCCTCCTTCATCGCCAAAACCACTTCAAGCTCGGCCCCGGTCATATTCGACGTGTCCGTCGCTAGTATTCGCATGTCGCTCTCCCTTTGTTTCCGAAGCTCTCTTTCAGAAGCAATTTGCAAAATCTTGTCCATTCTGTCTTTTATACCCTTCATGTCGGCTCTCATTTCTTTCAAATCATCTGAATCCGACGCTTTGCCTTTGCCTTTGTTTTTTGCTTTGTCTCTTCCCATTGGTCGGGAAGGTGGTGAAACTAGAACAGGTTCATCTTCGTTCAGATCAAATTGAACACGAGCATCTGATGTAGTGTGGTCGGACTCAGATGTTCTGCTGCGTTTTGAACCACTGTCGATATGCTTGTCTGATGTTTTGTTACTCAGCCATTTCCTGTTATCTTTCAAAAAATTCCAAACTTCAAGAAACTTGAAAGCCTTCAGATTTTCTTTTTGATACACTTTCAACGTTTTCTTCAAAATCACTTCATCGCTTTCTCCATTTTTCCATTGACGTTTCATGTTGTTCCACAAGTCATTAAACAACATGACTTCCTTGTTCATCTTCCCCCATTTGGAGTACACTTGATGTTTTGAACGGTATTCTCCACGGTTCATTCCTTTATGGAACCTGTGTAAAACGCGAATCCAAAAGCGGTCATGCTTTTGGTCTTTTCCAACCGTCGCATCTTCTGAAATATCGATCCAAGATTGTGCCAACACTAACGCTTCCAAAGGTTCCCAACATCTAGCCTTCGCCTTCTCTTTTCTTTTAGTTGCTGCTCGAGTGGGCTGACTTTCTGTAACGAATTCCGGTTCAGAATCAGAAACGACCGTTTCTGGTTGTGTTTGTGTTTATTGAACAAACTCGGGTTGAGACAAAAAATCAAATGGATTAAAATCTGGGTCGGGTTGTGGTAGTGGTGGTGTTTGTGGTAGTGGTTGCGCTGGTCATTGTGGAAAATACGGAAACATACCGCCGTAGTGGTAATACGGAGGTGAGAAAATCGGTTGATCAAATGAAGGTATTGGGATGTTGGTGTTTCTGACTGGTGTTTTTTCTTTGCTGGGTCATTTGGAATATGACATTTTTCAAAAACAAAATAGAGAAAAGGAGTAGAGATATGGTCAACGGTCAAAAAAGCAGTCAAAACCCAAGGACCAATCACAGCACGCGGTAGTTTCTAGCCGCAGTGCGGCCAAGACCGCGACCTGGGAGCGGTGTTCGCGGTTGACGTGGCACAAACCGCGGTCCTAGACCGCGCCCACACCCTTCAGCCTTATCAAAAGTCAGCCAATAGGTAACTATTTTTAATCATCTTTTTCAAAAAACAATGTAATTTTTACCAATGAAAAAATCTTAAAAATTATATAGGGTGTTTAAATGGTAAAATTGGGTGTTCATTTAGCCAACCCCTTAGCGAAATTATGCCAAAAAGAACCTTCAAGATGATCTAGGCTCTTTATTAGTTTAGTAAATTGAGAATATTCACGGAAAACGTTATCAGGCCAATCATCTGCATTTGGAATCTCGTCCACTGTATTTTTAATTTTTGAAATATTATATAATAAGAATAATGATAAATCTTATGGCAACGACCAATTTCTTTTCCACTACCTCTTTTTAAAATATGATAATCTCCATTCTTAATAAAAGACTCCTATAGTTGCCACTTGTCATTTTTTTAGACTTCATATTTGTCACGTGTCACACTTTTTGTTCACCTTATTTTTGTATTCCCGCTCATTTGTTCTTCCTCTGATATTGTCATCCCAAAAAATCAGCATTCAAACTTTAAAAACGTTGTTGTTATCCCAATAAATCAGCTAAGTAATCATCTATTGATTTGAATTTGAATTAGACAGATTTTCCCTTCTCATAGCATCTCCTAAATCTAGCTCAAAATAAACTATCCTAACTCCTTCCTTTATATTTCCGTGTTGAAGAATTAGTCCGTGAGGTAAAGGTAGTGGTTAATTCTTTTTCAATTTCACTTTGATTTTTGTTTCTATTTATCTGATTATATGGCTTTAATGTTGAGCCCTAATGTGCTTTAATAGATTGATGGGTTTTGTTTCTGTTTGAATCCTTCGACAAAACCAGGCACTCTCTCATCGCTATATATAATTGCTAAAGGGTACAAGAGGTCATGTCCGCGATTTTAGATTTTATAGAGTTGGTGTTTTTTTCTTCCTCTAACCACAGTTTACCCGGTCTCTATTGCTGTTGGTCTCTGCTGATGTTGAATCTTAAGGTGGTTTCTTCTTTTCCCAATTTCATTATTGTGCTATTTTTCTCCACCCCTCGATGTGATATTTGAACTGAATATTGTATGTTTTTTTTCTAATTTTGGCAATGATTCGGGGACTTCAAATTTCTAAGAAAGGTTCTCTCATACGTTTCTTCAACATCACTCTCTTTCCACATTTCTCATGGTTTTTTTTTCATCATGTATTTCTCGGTTTCTCATGGTTGGTTTTTTGTAGCTTTTCTTAAAAACTGATTTTAAGTTGATCAGATATTTATTCAGTGGTTTAATAACCATAAAGTTAAAACAAGTAGATATTATTTGTGTGATCTTTTTTGTTTACTTTGATTTTGATAGATGAATGGTTGAAAAAATAGTGTATGGAACTTGATTATAAATCCAGGGCAAATGTATAATCTAGCATATAATTCACAATTGTTTTCTAATCTCTGTTGAATAGCTATAATCAATAATGATATTCTAACTCTGTAAACAACAAATGATGGAGCTTCAAGAAGTTTATAATGCTCAACTAATAACTAAAAAGTTAAACTGAGAAGCTTTACTTTGCGTTCACGTAAAATTATGTTTCATTTGAGATATTGTCATATTGAAATATGTTGTTTTGTGTTTTATGTTAAACTTTTAACTTGTAATCTTTTATTGTCGATTCTAAATTTAAATGGTGGAACTTAAAATAGTGCATTTAAATAATAACACATGTCCTGCTTTTGTGTATGGTACTGATCATAAAGTTTATGAATTTTTTTATGTTATATCCAATCATTAACAATACTACTTGATTAAATTTTGATTTGTGTGCCAAATGACTTTGGTTGCAACTTGGTCGTCACCAACTATATCGAATTGTCTGGTGAGAATGAGCTCCTTGATTTTTTGGGTACCGGCCTTATGGTATGTGTTCTATATACTACACTTGCGAGCATTATATACATTGTAGATTTGTAGGTGTAATTGCAAAAAAAAAAACAATAATATATTTTTGCATATATGTCTACATTACATCATTCTTTTATTTTTTTTTCTTTGTCAAAATTTTACCTTAAGATAATCTACCCAATTATAGTAACGTCATCCAAATAAAAAATTGTTGATCTTTTAAAGTGTAATGTCCTAAGGAGAAAAAGGAATTGAAAGTACAATGC